CTCTCTCTCTCTCGCTCTTCTCTCTCTCTCTCTCTCTCTCTCTCTCTCTTTCTCTCTCTCTCTCTCTCTCTCTCTCTTTCTCTCTCTCTCTCTCTCTCTCTCCCTCTCTCCCTCTACTCTCCCTCTCTCCTCCCTCCCCCCTCCTCCCTCCCTCTGCTCTCTCTCTCTCCTCCCTTCCCTCCTCCTGCTCTCCCTCACTCCTCCCTCCCTGCTCTTCTCTCTCTCTCTCCCTCCCTGCTCTCTCTCTCTCTCTCCCCCTGCTGCTCTCTCTCTCTCTCCTCCCTGCTCTCTCTCTCTCTCTCCCTCCTGCGGCTCTCTCTCTCTTCTCCTCCCTGCTCTCTCTCTTCTCCCTCCTGGCTCTCTCTCTCTTCTCCTCCCTGCTCTCTTCTCTCTCTCCCTCCCTGCTCTCTCTCTCTCTCCCTCCCTGCTCTCTCTCTCCCTCCCTCCCTGCTCTCTCTCTCTCTCCTCCGCTCTCTCTCTCTCTCTCTCATCTCTCTCTCTCATCTCTTCTTCTCTCTTCTCTCTCTCTCTCTCTCTCTCTCTCTCTCTCTCTCTCTCTCTCTCTCTCTCTCTCTCTCTCTCTCTCTCTTCTCTCTCCCTCTCCTCCCTCCCTCTCCTTCCTCCCTCCCTCTCTCCTCTCCTCTCCTCCTTCCCCCTCATTTCCCCCCTTCCCCATCTTCCTTCCCTCCCCCACCCTTCCCCTTTCTCTTCCTGTTTCCCTTTATATCTTTTCCTTCTCACTCTAATCTCATTTCTTCTATTGTAGCTTTTATAGCCATTTTTTTTCTTTGTTTATTTTGCTCTCAGATGCAGTATTGTGGTCAAAATGACTTATTTTTCTCTCTCGTCTTTATCAGGTGTCATAATGGAGGACGGACTACTAAGCTTGAGTGGAACAACACAAACCACATTCTTTGAAATCCTCAGGGTATTAAGAGAAAAGGTAAGTCCTCTATTTTTGGTTCTCTTTGTTTCATTTGTTGTTCCGGTGAGCTTTTATACTTGATACTTGGGCATGTACCCTTGCATTAGTACACAGTATGCACAGTCACTCGTACACCCACAGACTTGGGTTTGTTTTCAGAGTAGTTTTAATATTATTGTTATTGTTGTTTTATTTTACTATATTCTTGTTATTATTATTTATTATTATTATTATTATTTTATTTTATTATTATTATTGTTATTATTTATTATTATTTGTTTTATTTGTTATTATTTTTGACATAATCAACTTCATTATTGTTAGTAGTAGTTTTTTTAAAATTAAAATCAGACGTTTCATAATTTTACCATTGACTATGAAGTGTGATTGATTATTTATCTGTATAAATGAAATACATTTGCAACTTATCATCTTGCATCAACATCTATTTTATAAATCTTTCAAGCAGCCACTAGCCATTACATCTCTCTGAACTGAAAATAATCTAACTTCGATACTTGTTTAAACCTGTCAGCAAGCAAGGCAGACCCTGATTCAAAGTCACACTGTCACCGTCTCTTACTTGACAGTGGTATGTTTAGGATAGAGTGCCAGTATCTGACAGTTAACTACTCAGCACTGGATGAAGGGGACCACTGTGTCTGACATGTTTTTATTATTAGTATTAGTATTTTAAATCAGAATACCAAAAATAAATCAGTTCTGAAACTTTGCAAGCATCTGGCAGTATTTCATAGGAAATTTATGAAAATAAACATGCCATGATTAATGTGCTGGCACTTTCTGCCTTCCTGGTAGATAATAAGCAGAAGTACAGTATCCAGAAGTATTCTGGAGCAGCAAAGATTAGCATGTAATGTAATCCCAGTTATCTCAAGGGAGCAATCATTGTTCACCTAAATGAGGAAAATGAGTTGTTTCAACTTGGTTGAGATTAAATTATTTTACTGTTTTTTAATGCTTCATAATATTTTAGACAGTTGATAGATAAATAAAAATGAAAGAAGGGATGGTGCAGCAAGGGAAGGTAAAAAGGAAAATGCAAGAGTGAAGGACAAACCTGCTTTAGTCTCTCCCTAAGTGAAGTAGCTTACATGAAAATATTTTGAGAAAGGAGGGAAACTAGGCATCAGCCAAAGGGCTTATAATACCATATGAAACCCTGATGTAGATAAGAAGCCATTAATAGAGCTGT